TGACGCTTGTCCCTTTTCGAACTGTGCAGATTATGGGGATGTAGGTTCTATCCATGACGCCCACACAGCTAGGAAATCCCATTTCTGCAAATCCTGCCATGACCTGCAAAAATTAAAATATATAGATATATACCATTTCATCAACATTCCTCATTGCCTAGATAATTGTCTCCAAGCAGTAACTCTGGACTTCCTCAGAATGCTTGTCACGATCTTGTCAGTTGGCTACAAGACAGCCCATGCCGCAATAGTGGCTTCCTCACAGTTGGTTTGCCCATTAAGAGCATCCAGGAGCTGGTCTTCTCCAGCTCAATGACATCCTATGTAAAACAAGACCTAGTTTGAACTGGAGGTGGAACCTGTGTCTGGAGTGTGTGTGAGAGAGAGTGTGTGTAAAAGAGAATGACTGAATACTCCACACAAACGAATCCCTGAAAACAAAAAAATTAGCATGTCAGGGCAAATCTTTTTAGTGATTGTCAGTGAGAATCTAGTTCTTTTACAAGCAGGGCAAGAGCAGAAGCAGATTTTTACATTTTGCCAGCCATCCGTCATACACCCAGGTGCGTGGTAAACCGTGTAGCCAACTGCACAACCTAGGCATTTTCAGACACGCAACAAACAGCTGGCGAGACCCACGCACACGAGTCGCACCATTGCCAGGTCATGCTACTGACAAATTCCTAGCCACTGTGGCTGGAAAAAATTATTTATTTATTTATTGGACTTATGTACCGCCCCATAGCGGTACAAGCACTCTCTGGGTGGTTTACAAGTTAATTATGCAGGCTACACATTGCCCCCCGAGCGAGTTGGGTACTCATTTTACCGACCTCGGAAGGACGGAAGGCTGAGTCAACCTTGAGCCGGCTACCTGGGATTTGAACCCCAGGTTGTGAGCAGAGTTTTAGCTGCAGTACAGCGTTTTAACCACTGCGCCATGAGGCTCTTATAATTAAATTATTATTATTATTATTATTATTATTATTATTATTATTATTATTATTATTATTATTATTATTATTATTATTATTATTATTATTATTAAATTTCTCCACGCTCAGCGGGGCCCTCATGGTGGTTGTCTGGCGTTGCAGCTCCGGCCGGAGTTCCTCACACAGTTCCAAGAAGGTCTCTTTGGTCATGCGGAAATTCTGGAGCCACTGTTCAGGATCCCAAGTCTTCAGCACCACCCGTTCCCACCAGTCCTGGCTGATCTGGCGGGACCAGAAGCGATGAGGCCCAGCATTGAGTTCTTCCACCATCAGCCGGGTCTCACTGTTGGGGCAAATATCAGGGAGCAGCTGGTGCAAGAGGGCAATGTGGTTTGCCATGACCCGGCGCATGGTGCGCCGGGCTCGGGCTGCGATGCCTCGGCGGTGTAAGTGTAAGCGCACCAGGTTGTGGGTGGCCAGAATCACAAAAACGATGGCTTCCAGGTTGTCCATAGTGAGCAAAGAGGACAGGAAAAGAAACCTTTTCACAAGCGCCTTTATTTTAAAATACCTACCGTTCGCTCCCACACACCGGTGCTCAAAGTAGCCTAAAAAAAAAACCAAGAAAAGCTTTAAAAAAACAAAATAAAATGGTGTGCACAAAATCGATTGGGAGTGGCAACGACGGATTATTTTCTACCCCTCTTTGACATCCACCATCGCTGAAAATCGACCTAGAATCAGATTGGAAACGTGAAAAGCAAGCAGCTGAAAGGGCAAAAGGGGAAGTTATAGTTAGTTATAGTTATCTCAACTAATGGCCTCTATAGGTCGATGGCAGATCAGATATCCCAAGATTTGCCAAAGTGGAAAATAAAACTTCAGATGTGGAAATACAGCAAGCAAAGTAATCAGATGCAATTAATTATTTTTTTCCCCTTGTCCCAGCCTTGCAGCATTTGATAAAAGCTGATTTTTCTCCTCCCCCTCAAAATACGATTTGGCAATCCAGAGGTTGTAGAAATCTTTCCAAGCCCTTTTTCCTTCCCCTGTAATCGGCCTCTTTTAGAAGACGGTGGCTTTTCCCGACCCTTCTGTCGCCGAGGCTGGTCGTTTCTTTCTGGGAAGGATTTTCTCTCTCCCTTATCCACCCCGAACACATTCGAAAGCTTTAAGGGTTAAAGCTAGAAAGCTGGGATTCCTAGACGGAGCCTGTCGTTCACGCAGGAAGTCCGCTCCAGTGGTGTTTAATAATATTGTTGCATTTGTTTGGAGGCGGGAGCAAATGCTCCTATTGGCTGAGAGCGCCGAGGTCTTCTGGAGGGGGAAATCCGGCAAGATTCCGCAGGGAGTTCTGGGAGTTGTAGTGCAAGAACAAAGCTGCACACCTTTAGTGATAGTGTTATACATTAATACTCGGCCCAGGAAGGGGTCATAAAGGATAAAAGGGTAAAGGAAGATAAAAGGAGTGCTCTTGAACAATGTTAGCCATAGAGGTGGCTGCATTAAATGGAAGTGTGGCTTAATTTGGGAATATTCTCTCTTCCGATTATGACAGCTTGGAAAATTACATTTTCAAAAAAATAATTCCATTATCCCAAATGTAATTAGTTACTGTAATAACTGATTTAAAAAGAATAACTATTATCTCTCCACAGTAAATAACTTTTGTCAATAGAGGGTTTTAATTCTAATGCTATGACGGACAGGTCATAGTGGAGAGTTCTGACTAAATGCAATTCACCTGGAGTAGGAACTGGCAATGCCACTCCAGTATCTTTGCCAAGAACGCCCCATGAACAGAAACAAAAGACTAAAAGATATGACCCTGGAAGATGGGACCCTCAGGTTGGAAGGCGTCAAACAAGCTACTGAGGAAGAGCGGAGGACAAGTACAAGTAGCTCCAGAGCTAATGAAGTGGTTGGGCCAAAGCCGAAAGGACCCTCAGCTGTGGACGTGCCTGGAAGTGAAAGGAAAATCCAATGCTGTAAAGAAAAATACTGCATAGGAACCTGGAATGTAAGATCTATGAACCTTGGGAAGCTGGAGGTGGTCAAACAGGAGATGGCAAGAATAAACATCGACATCCTGGGCATCAGTGAACTAAAATGGACAGGAATGGGCGAATTCAGCTCAGATGATTATCATATCTACTATTGTGGACAAGAATCCCGTAGAAGGAATGGAGTAGCCCTCATAGTCAACAAAAGAGTGGGAAAAGCAGTAATGGGATACAATCTCAAAAATGATAGAATGATGTCAATACGAATCCAAGGCAGACCAATCAACATCACAATAATCCAAGTTTATGCACCAACCACCACTGCTGAGGAGACTGAAATTGAAGAAGACGGTGGCTTTTCCCGACCCTTCTGTCGCCGAGGCTGGTCGTTTCTTTCTGGGAAGGATTTTCTCTCTCCCTTATCCACCCTGAACACATTCGAAAGCTTTAAGGGTTAAAGCTACAAAGCTGGGATTCCTAGACCGAGCCTGTCGTTCACGCAGGAAGTCCGCTCCAGCGAGTGGATGGGACCTGTTTAATAATATTGTTGTATTTGTTTGGAGGCGGGAGCAAATGCTCCTATTGGCTGAGAGCGCCGAAGTCTTCTGGAGGGGGAAATCCGGCAAGAATGCTCCGCGGGGAGTTCTGGGAGTTGTAGTCCAAGAACAAAGCTGCACGCCTTTAGTGATATTGTTAAACATTTATACTCGCCCCAGGATAAAAGGAATGCTCTTGAACAATTTTAGGCGGGCCATAGAGGTGGCTGCAGGTCTGTGTAGGTTTGTCTATAATTAAATGGAAGTCTGGCTTAATTTGGGAATATTCTCTCTTCCCATTATGACAGCTTGGAAAATTACATTTTCAAAAAAATAATTCCATTATCCCAAATGTAATTAGTTACTGTAATAATTGATTTAAAAAGAATAACTCTTATCTCTCCACAGTAAATAACTTTTGCCAATAGAGGGTTTTAATTTTAATGCTAGTGTTTAATTATGAAAGTACTGTACCAACCATGGCCATAGTCATTAGAATCAGGCAGCAGCATGGGGGAGCTCCTCCCTAGTTTTAAAAGTTTTGAAAGAAACTGGGTACCAGTTAAGAGGCTGGCTGGTACCAAATCAGGCCATGTGAAGAAAACTGGCTGCAGAAAATGGAGGTTGGTGCCAAATAAAATTCCTTAGTTGTTAAGGTGCCACCAGACATTTGTGAAAGACACAGAGATGCTTTCTGTCCTTTGCAGCCGAAACACCACAAAATCTCTGAGCCACGTTGACTTGATCTACAGGGTTCTTTCCAGCTCTACAATTCCAAGAGTATTATTAATACATAGTACACTAAATAATATTTAAATGTATCTGTACGCTCATGTGCATGTATTTTGTTTACCACGTGATGGCACCTAGTCCTTGGCCTCAGGCAGCAAAGTTGATTGGGCCAGCCCTGCCCTTGACCAAAGTGTAAAGGAGGCTCATATATTCCATGATGTTTCCTTATGTTTCCAAGATCTCTCTTCTCTCATACCTGCGTACCTTTGTGGCACTTCTAAATCCACTATTTCCACACAGGAGTAAAGCTGCTTGAATCAAAATGATCATTCTTTCACAGACATTCAATGAATGTACATTTAATGTGTATATAGCAATGGAAATAAAAATAGACAATATGAAATTTATGTCCTGTTTTGATAAATATACACAGAAAATTGAATACATAGTTAACAAAAGAGATGTATGAGAAAATGGATACAGGTAATACAACTGTCATGTCCCTTGAAGAAATGCAGGAGTTTTAAAAGCCCTCAAAAAGGCCAGTAATAAAGTCAGTGTCAAAGGGAAAGGAGTTCCATAAGTGTGAGGCCACCACCAGGTAAGCCCCATTTCCTGTGTTCACTGCCATAATCTATTTTACAGCAAGCTCATCAGTACATCTATGATGCTGTTCATGGATCATGGCAAGGTTGTACAGAGGAAGGTCGGCTTAAGGTAATTCATGCCCAAACTATTTAGACCTTGAACTCTTGGGAGCACCTCAGCCCATAGCCCAACAGTATCTTACATTATCATTCAGTAACAATAGCAGGTTGTTCTACACGCTCATGTGGTTTCTCTCGCATGTGCATTTTCGCATGTTTGGAAAGGTTTCCCTTCTGACTGAAGCTTCTCCCACATTCCGCACACATAAATGGCCTCTCTCCTGTGTGGATTCTCTTGTGCATCATCAGGTTTCCTTTCTGGTTGAAGCTTTTCCCACACTCGGAGCACTGATAAGGCTTCTCCCCTTTGTGAATCCTCTCATGGACTGCCTGGTTGGAGCGGTCCGCGAAATATTTGGCGCACCAGGCACACTTAAGCAGCTTCCTTCTCGTGTGAATCTTCTCGTGCCTTACGAGGATCCCCCTGCGGCTGAAGCGCCGATTACACGCCAAACACTTGTACAGTTTCTCTCCCTTGTGATTCTGTTCGTGGGCCGTGAAGTTGGAGCTGTTGCCAAAGCTTTTCTCACACAGAGAACACTTGTAGGGTTTTTCTCCAGTGTGAAGAACTCTTTCGTGTTTTCTGAGAGCCCCTTTATCGCGGAAATCTTTCCCACACTCGGAACATTTATGCACTTTCCTGCCGGACCGGGATCTTGCATGGGATCCCAGGTCTGTGCTCCAGTGGAAGCCTCTTTCAGAGAAATGGATCTTTTCTTGAGCTGTGGTTTCAGTCTGATCCCATTTGCTTTCTCCACCAGGAGGATTCACAGGGAGGTTGTCCAACCGCTCGTTCACTCGTCCTGGGCAACTTTCACACTTAATGCTTGCTTCATAAGATGGGGCAGTCTTGCTCCTTGCCACCAAGACCTCCCTTGACTCCATTTGCTCTGGACTTTGATGCGGAAGATCGTCTGTCTTGGTCTCCATGACCCCTTTCTCACCTGAGCAAATAAACAGAGAAATCAAATATAAGCTTCTGTTCCTAGACAGGCCTGGGACTGGAATTTTACAATCTGCCTTCCCAGCCTGTTTTGGAACAGTAGCCAGGGGTTTCCAGCCACACAAAGCAATGTTTCTAAAGCATTTTTTTTAAAACTCTCGTTGCACATTTACATTTGAGGTGAAAAGGGAGAAGTGGAATGACAGCAATTTTCTGAACCAGTAAAGAATTCAAAAGCACATGTGAGGAGCTGAACAAACCGTGCTAATTTCTTGGAAAGGAAATGCAGCCAAGAAATCAAAAGGCAACTGATATTTGGAAGAGCAGTAACAAAGGAACTAGAGAAGATCATTAAGTGTAAAGAGGTGTCACTGGAGACTAGAGGTGGGCATGAACCTTGGTTCAGTGGTGCATGCTGCTTCATCAGTCTGGCACCAAGGGTGCCACATATTCCCTTCCCCTACCTCTCCCCGGCTGGATTCTCCACTCACCAGCCAGCGTGTGCTTCTTTTCAGGCATTCGTCCAATCCCAGCAGGAGTGCCTGCTTTGCTCATCTGCCTCCTCTGGCAGCCGCCCACTCAGATGAGGAGATGGGCCAGGGATTCCTGCACTGCTGCCTTTGAGTGGGTGGCTGCTGGAGGAGGGAAGGAGGTGCTCACCAGCTGGTGAGTGGAGAATCAAGCCGGAGGTGGGGAAAGGGAACGTGTGCCACCTGTGGTGTTGGACCAATGAAGTGGCACAAATCTCCAAACCAAGGCTCTGCCCATCTCTACTGGAGACCAAGATAATCTATAGATGATACCTGACTAGCCCTGTGGTTTTTCCTACTCTCTTCAGTTTAAGCTTGAATTTTGCTATGAAAAGCTGATGAGCAGAGCCACAATCAGCTCCAGGTCTTGTTTTTGCTGACTCTGTAGAGCTTCTCCATTTTTGGTTGCAGAGAATATAATCATTGTCTAGAGGGGCGGGGTAAAAATTGAATAAATAAATAAAATAAAATAAATAAATCAATCTGATTTCGGTATTGCCCATCTGGTGATTTCCATGTGTAGAGTCGCCTCTTGTGTTGTTGGAAAAGAGTGTTTGTGATGACCAGCTTGTTCTCTTGACAAAACTCTAGAGTAGCCTTTGCCTTGCTTTGTTTTGAACTCCAGATGTTGTTCCTTTCCTTGTTCTCCTTCATGGATTGCTGCCTTGTTGTGG